ATGACATCGTAGTCTTGGTCATATAAGCAAGAAATGTATGAAATTCACTTTCAAAGAATTATCTTCAAGGTTTGAAATCAAAATATTTAAATTTCTGAGAGGACTGCACATATGAAAAACATTAGAAAGGAATTTTTCTCTAAAAATGGGGCAATGGTGAAGTCAAATAAATTGAAGTTGGTGCAAATTTATGGGTTCCTCTCTAGTTCACACCATTGGGAAATCTCACTGCTTTATCATATTTATAAATGATCGCACTAAAAAAAAGTATGTGTTTACTTCTAAAATTAAAAATATGATGTATTTGAAGTGTTTAAAAAGTCTAAGGTCATGACAAAAAATGAGAACGATTTGAAACTGAAGTTTCTGGATTAGATGTTGAGGGCTAGTATCGTGATAAAAAAATCCATAAAATTTTATATTATAGAGAAAATAATGCATGAGTTCACTATCCCAAAAACACCACAACAAATTGTAGTAGTTGAGTGCTTGAAAAAAACAATCATGAAGCATTCCATGAGCATAAAACTGTGTGCATGCTTACCAAAACAGTATTGGGTTAGAACAATGAAGTCTACTTTATCTGATTAATAATAGTTTGTTCAATACTTTTGAAAGAAGACTTATCTGAAAAAGCGTGAAATGATGATGTGGTAAATTTATCTCATCTAAAATTGATACTCGAGTGCATTGTCTCACTACATTCAGGGTGCATCGTTATTTCTTCTTCGAAGTGCGTCCTTATACCATATTCGGTGCAACATTGAGCATCAAGCTTAGTCTAACAAAATTTAAGGGACATTTACATCATACCACCCAATTTTTATGTATTTACATATATATCACCTAAATTTTACTTTTTATATTCATACAACTCAAAATTTTCATATTACATAAAATTATCATCATTTTAACTTTTTCAAAGTGAAATACCCATTTTCATTCAAAGATAAGGGGATATGCATGCAAAATTAAAGTATAGTTGCGACTTATGCGAATGCTTAAGACTTGAGTGGTATGAAAGTAAACATTCCAAAAGTAAAATGTGAAGTAAACTTAAATAGTAATTTATAAAAATTAATATTTAAATTACAAGGATGAGAACATAACTCATATTTTTAAGGTAAATAGTTACAATAGATTTTACTTATCAACCTTATATTGGTTGTTTTTGCAAAAATAAGTGATCTAACTATAACGTTAGGGCCGTTAAAAAAAATTATAATTTCTGAATAGTTAGTGTTTCGCTCGTTGAATTACTTGTGTTTGATGAGTTCATAAAGCAAGCGAGTCGAACATGAATATTTTTTTTAGCTCGATTTATAAATGAGTCAAACACGAGCAAAAGATTTGTTCATTCGTGTTAGGCTTGTATTAGCTCGAAATAATTAAATAATTAAATAATAATATTTATTTATATATATTCTTATATTAAATATTTATATGGATTAAAAATGCTAAATTTAATTATTTTAAAAAATTATTTATGTGGTATAATTATAACAAATATAAGTTTAAATGGTAGATATGTAAATTAATAGGATTTGAAAGGTATATATGCAAAGGTCCCAAAAATACTCTTAGTAATAGGAGTTGTCAAGGGGTTGAACCAAGCTTTGGTTCAGGAAAGTGATGTAGGAACAAAAGGGCTATCGCCTCTACCACTGTATCAACTACAATTTGCCCCAAAGACAACAATTATAATGTATACTGCAACCCCAAACCCACCACCTTCATTGTACCTTCATTCATCATCTGCATCTCCGACATTCCGGGTTCATCTCCCTCCCTCCAGTATCTGCCTTCCCAACTTGAACATCCTTTTGTTGTTGATGCCTAACACCCTCCTCTTCCACCTACTTCTCAACATCCCAGCCTTGTGACTGTTGTTATCTCCCGACAGTCCCTATACACCAGCCCAACCCGTTTCCACCATGCAACCAACTTCAAAACTCCCCTACCTTCCTATTTGTTGCCGTCAAACCCCTTCACTTTACTGGTTACCACAAAACCCTTGCCACCCTCGCAGCTACTACCACAAAGCATTCTAAACATCTTGTAGGGGCCACCACCTCCCACTAGTTAGCCCCTGTTGTCCAACCACCATTCACTATCCACCGCCTTCGTCATCCCCTTATGGTGTCGTTTTATTTTTGCTTTCATTTATTTCCTGCTTTGAAGCGTCACTACATCCTATTTGAACTTCAACAATAATATTTATATTTCTATTATGGTTTGGGTTAACTCTGATATTTTTTGGTATCAACGCTAGGCGAACCCTAGTCCTATTAAAGGTTTTCCTAAAAATCACCCCTACTCAAACCACTTTTACTAAAAAATTTTGTTTCCATAGATAAATTTTACCTAATGCAAATTTTCCCTTGCTAAAGCCAGCAATCCCAAATTAATTTTACTACACATTCAATTAGTCTCATACACTCTCATTCACCTCCTAACCCTAAATCTTATCCCGACGTCAAGGAGATGTATGTCTGAGCCCACCCGAAAAGAGTTACAATGAGAGAACCGTCAACTTCAATGGAGGCTTGTGGACATGGAAGATGAAAATCAAAAGAAAATTACCCTCCACCATGATGCTGAAATTTGAAAGGGCGAAGGAGACAACAACTTCAACCCCTTTCATTTGAAAAGTTTTAGTGATGAAAAAAAAATACCATGTCCTTTGGAATCCAGCATCAGAAGAGGACATATATGGAGGACAAAGGGACTTGGGAATAAAAGTTGGATCTATCAAATTTTGATTACGGTATGGATCCACACGACTCTATAGAACGTGTACAATCAACTGAGAAGATCTTTGAGTACAAGGAAGTGTCAAAAGACAAAAGGGTGAAACTTTGAGCTATCAATTTGAGAAATAACGTCTCTTTAGGTGGGAATACTTTCAAAAACAAAGGAAGAAATAATTCAATGATAAGATTACCAAGTGGGAGAATATGAGGAAGCTGGTGCAGAGAAAATACCTAACTCCTCATCACCGATATTATATATTCTCAAGACTCTACCTCATATAGCAGAGTTCTATCAGTGGAGGAGTTCACATCCCAGTTTGACCATTTTTAAATGAAGTGTGAGTTGTTTGAGTCAGAGAAACATACCATAGCACGATAAATGAGTGGTCTGAAACTCATTATTAGCAACGATGTGCAGCTACAACCTTATTAGTCACTGGGAGATGCCCAGACCTTAGTCTTGGAGGTGGAGAAGTAGTAGAAACAGAGCAGGCAACCACCACCTGTTAGGTGGCTACCCACAGTTGGAGTCACCATCAAGACAACGCCTGAGATAGTCGAGAAAACTGGTTCGTATATGAACAGAGGCACTCCATCTGAGAATAAGCCCGAGAAGAGTAACACACCTACTATAATTTTGCCTGAAAATACTTCAAATGTCATGGATTTGGGCACAGTGGAAGAGTTTAGCAATGAGGATGCATCTGAGGAGTAGGGTGAGGTGTATCATCTTCCACCGAATAAGAGAGATGCTAACTGATGATATAAGGGACCAACAGTGGTTTTCTCACAACATATTATGCACTCACAACACTGCAAATAAGGAGTGCAATATCATCATCAATGGAGAGAGTAATAAGAACACGACATATATGCAAATGGTAAAAAAATTAGGCCTCGTGACTCAAAGGCATTTTTAGTCATATTCTCTGACATGATTGAAGAAAGGGAAGACGGTTGGTATTGGCCTGAGGTACTTAGTGGAGTTCTCAATTGGAAGCCAATTGCATGATCAGGTGTTGTGAGATGTGGTCCTCATGGATGTCTATCATCTTTTGTTGGGAGACCATAACAATTTGACTGTAGAATACATTATGAAAGATTGAGAAACACATAAATCTTCACCAAGGAGGGGAGCACCCCATCCTTTTCCTTCAATGAAACCTGAGATTATAGAAACTTTTGCCAGCAGAGTAACATTGTTGAGACCATTTTTGGAGAAGACAGAGGATGATAGGATCGAAACACTATTTTCAGACATGGGATGGTAACAAGAAAGTGCATTTCAGGACATCACGATCAATACTCTACCACCACGACCACCTTCAGGGAGGCTCAGGTTACACTCACTTCAGACCAGGTTGAACCAACATTAGGCTATTTTGATAGGATTTAACAGTATATGTGTGACATGTAAAACTGAGTCAGATCGATAGTGAGCTCTCATAATATTGGATTGATGTAGGTGTCTCCCAGGAGATTACTTCAGTTCCATCACAAATAACGAACATACAAAAACTTTAACATATGGGGTTACCCTTGTAAATCATATGTTTATTATAATGGCTTAATGTCCCAGGAGATTACTTCAGTTCCATCACAAATAACAAACATACAAAAACTTTAACATATGGGGTTGCCCTTGTAAATCATATGTTTATTATAATGGCTTAATATAATAACATATTATATCACAATACGGTATAACTATAATCATAACTTGTCACATTGCATATAAAGTGAAATAGACAATCACCCAAATATATTCTGCCTTCTATGATTTTAAAGCCCGCGGGCTGGCCCGACCCGATCTATAGCTTGGGCGGGCTTGATTATTTTTTTTCTAAATAGAAACAAACACGAGCTAACGAGCTAATCCGAACACAGAACACAAACTTAGATATATACATTCACAAGTTTATTTTGAAGAAAGAAAAACTCAGAAGAGTCGAACACGAAAAAACTTTGAGCATGCACCTATTTGGCTCATTTACACCCAATAATACAATGTCAAAAAAAAAAGAAAAAAATTATTGTTTTATGGTGATAGATAAAAAGAAGGCAATATACTTAAAAAACCTAACATTATTAATTAACTAACATCAATAAGTTGTGATATCAACGCCAATAGTATTTGCCACGTGGCAATCATCCGTCCCGTCTCCGACGGAACCGGACCGAAAAAAATTCTGAAGACCGGTTTAATGAAAAACGGCTTCCAACCCTTCTAACCCATTATTCCCCGTTCGCCCTCACTGATACTTCCGCTCGCCTATCTGCCGACGTGTGCTCATCGAAACGCACTGCTCGGCTCTCGCCGGCGAGGTAATGTGGTGACACCGCCGCCCGATGCCGTCCACCGATCGCCGTCGATAATTTCGTTCCGGCAACGTAGGCGTCTTGTCGTTCAGCGCAATATCGCGAATCGTCTTCTGTCGTGGGGTTTGAGTGTTCGCTTCTGTTACGGAGAGGCGGTTGCAGCGGCTAGGGTTTTTTCTTGCTGCTGTCGCCATGGCTCCTGGGAAAAGAAAGGGAGCGAACCGATCGAAGGAGAAGGGTGATTTACAGATTGGGGATCTCGTTCTTGCAAAGGTCAAGGGATTCCCTCCGTGGCCGGCGAAGGTGCGTCCGATGATTTGTGCTTTCTGCGCAATGTTTGATTCTCCTTATCCATTGCGGGATTTTCCTTTTAGACTGGGGAGGCAGAGGTTGTGAGGTTCCGGTGGGTATAAGATGATTTTTTTAAAATTTGTTTTTAAACTCTTTGTTAGTATTACTGTTATTTTTTGGGGATTAAAATATAATGGGATGTTAGCTTTGCTTTTTGTTCTTTTTTTTTCATGATTTTTGGTGACATGGATGTAGGAAACTTGTGTATTCATTCACTTCGGTTTTAATTTCTGCAGTAGGTTGCCTTGTATTGCTCTATCTTATGCCGGGAAGGAATTTTTTGGATTAAGAATTGCTGTAGTTTGTATAATGTCTATATTTATTTGATTTTTTGCTCAATATATGTACTGTTTTGGTTCAGATTTGTAGGCCGGAAGATTGGGACAGGTCGCCTGATCCGAAGAAGTACTTCGTGGAGTTTTTTGGAACTTCTGAGATGTGAGTACAGATATTTCCTTGTTTCTGAGCAGTAGATCTCAATTTTTTATTATGCAGCGCGGCTTTACTTGCATAAATAACCTGCTTTTCATTTCTGTTGAAGAACCAGTATTCTTTCTTCCGTGGTAATTTCTATTGTCTTACTTTATTCATTGGTAATATGAAAAATTGACCGGGAAAAAGGCCTCCTGCATGTAAATAGGATGGCAGGTCATATCAGATTATTAGAGATGGGGCATTTACATGCATAGCACACAATTCTCATGTATTTACATATCTGCACCTCAGCTTTTATATTTGCACACATAACCTCAAATCCTTAACATCTCATAAAAAAAAAAAAAAAAAAAAAAAAAAAAACTCTTTCTTAAAGTGAATTACAACTTTAATGCATAGGTTTAAAGAAAGAAAGTTTTATGTGAATATGAAAGCTTAGGTGTGAGATATGTAAAGACATATGAATTGTGTACTAGGTATGTAAATGGCCCTAAAAAAAAAGAAAAAATCACATGTTACTGTGAATAAGTTTAACTTGAGCTTGAATTGAAATATACTCTGGTGATAACATAAAACATAATTCATATGGTATACATAAACATTTGGTGTAGTAAGCAACATGAAAGATCATAGATGTACTATAATAAGAACAAGAGTATGGAATGGAGAAAGGATATCAGGCATATTATTAATCCGAGTGTTGGGTTACGAATAAATTTTGATAGATAAGCTGACTTTGTTAAAATTGAGAAAATTATGATAAATTTTTCAGTAAAACTTGGAATGAGATTGTATTTGACTGACAATTGGAGCGGCACTTTTGGAGTAAAAGTGGCAGAGTTGTGAAAAATAGACTTGCGTGTTTTGGACGGGCACAATGAAGAGTAAATTATGCATCAATAAAACATGTAGATGGAATTAACATTGAATGAGTAAGAAGGAAAAATGTGGATGAGAGTTAACATAGTTGGAAATATGCAAAATGATATGCACAAAATAGAACTAAGATTTTAGGTTCCTTTTAACAAGATGGCTAGAGAATGAGGATTTGTCTGTCTCAACCCAAATACTTCCTGTAAGATTAATATTGCCAATGAAGAAAGACCTATCCAAGATTGCTTTATTATCATGAAATAACAAAATTATTGTATTTTTAGTTGGCAAGGACCTTAGGAAAAAGACAATTAAGTTGAAGAGCTGCTATGTTTCATTTAATAAAATGCGTGAAAATTTTCCTTGTTTCTTTGTTATGGTGGAAGGTATTGGAAGATTTTCTCCATCTTTACAACTTTTAGAATATTCCATGGAAAGATGGTGGAATTCAATTCATTTTGGGAAAGCCCGTCCATCATAACTCTTGAACTGAGTTCCTCTTTGGATCTGGGTTATTTTGGGAAACAAAGTAGCTCTAGTACCAGTTATAATTACACAGACTGATGCCTTCCATTTATTTTAGTAACAGAGAGATAGGAAAATTGAAGTAAATCCCTACTGGAAAATGGGTTTTGTTGACATAAGGGAGTAAGCACCATAATTCCATTGTGCTTGTCCTATATTTGGGATGTTGATTACATTAAGTTGGAGAGGAACTGGTATTGCTCCGACTATTGCAGTCACTGCTGCCTGATCTTGAGTCTTGCTTTATATGGTTTTCTTTTGAGAGATATTACAGAGAAGTAAGCATGGGGTAAGATTTGTGCTAATATGTTTTCTCAAGTGGGTTCGCCACAATAATACAAGACTCCTTGTAGAGGTTGTAGGGCTAAACATTAGATATTTATTCAAGATATCTTTAATTTGGGGCCAGCTTTATGCATTCTTAATTTTTAGTTCATTTTTTTGTGTTTCATGTGATGTTGACTCTCTTTGGACATTTTTTTTCATCGCTTGTATTTTGAGAGGTGTATCACTTTTTGGTATTATTTTGCTTGATCTCCTATATTTTTTGGCAATAAGGCAATAATTTTTAAATGAGGAATTGGAAGCTGCTGTCTTTATTCTGATATTTAATTTCCTATTCTTGATCCATGATAGGTTGAGATTGTTCATCTTCTATTCCATTTCATTGGATGATTATTAAGTTTCGTTATGTTGTTATTCATCTATTTAGGATTTTTTCTTTGGGCTTTCACAAGGTTTTAAGCATTGAGTCAATTTTGAGCCATTCTTTTCTCGCACAAGTCTTATAGTCTTATTTGGTCTTTTTGTCCAGCTCTTTTTTTAACTTATCTAATAGCTGTTTTTGTTTGTTGGCTGAACTTGCAATTCCGTATTTGACTATAATTAGCTAGTTTTATTATTGTATGGGATAGTTCATGTTTACTTATATTTTGGGTATGGTTTAGGCATTATGGTGATGTGGGGTTTTTTATTACATTGTTGGTGCTTGTCCTCTTGTGCGATATAGACCTATGAATTTTTATGAACTTCTTGTAGGAAAGGAAGAAGAAATTGGAGAGATCCTTTGCTTCTAAATTGAAAGCAACTATTCAACAGTTTTCTTAGAAAAGTAAAAAGTGAACCCTATTTAATTATAGAAATTATGCTTCTAAGTTTTTTCAGTTTTAGTGTTTCTTGGGTTTTTCCTTGGTTTTTTCAGTAGATTTTTCTAGTAATGATAATGGATTTTTTTTGGCTGGTTTGCTTGTGCAACACACCTTGATATTAAGAGTAAGCGCTTGAAGCTAATTCTAGACTGAAAGATACATTGCATGCAATAAAGTTGTTGAGGGATCCCAACTCTCACTCAACTAGTACCTTTGGCGCTTTTTCTGAATTTTAGGGTCATTAAGTGAGTACTAACTAGTATCCCTACTACATCAGTTGCTTTATTTGGTTTGGGTGTATGCTGAACTCCCCTTTTTAGAATATTTCGTGTTTTCTAATTTTATTAGATTTTGAACTTAGTCTATTTCCTACCACATTTATTGAATTTCTTACTTTTCAATCAGTTTGTGGAAGATTTAACAAATTTTACCAAAAAAAAAAAATCTTTTTGCATGACTTTCCTATTTTAAGTTCTGATGATCTCATATGCTTAGGTTTCTGAACCTTCCTGTCCAACTAAAATTGGGATTGGAGGAACAAAATAAGATTCATTATAACTTGACTTATGGCACTTCTTTTGTAGATATTTTGAAGGTCAATAGAAAAGATTATGACTAGTTCCTTATAGCAGCTAATGGAATAATTTTGATGTGGCGTCGATTTAATATCGAAATAAAATTGTATTACGATACCAAATTGGGATGTGGATGCTTTATTTGATAACTTATGGGCTTCATTTGATTTTTTTTTGTTTTCAAAATTTAGAATAACATAGATGTTTTAATGACTCCTTTCTATGATTGACAACTAATCAAGAAATCTAAAAAGATGACAAAGAGGTTTTATGAAGAAAAGCAAGTAGTGCAGTTTACTAAGAAACTTTTTTATGGCAGCCTTATTTAGGGTTTCTTGATGTCTTCCTTTTGTACCTCTTGACCACAAGAAGGATTTTCGTGCACACCGTGGGAGTGGAAGAATAGTTTAGAAATCACTGGAATTCAAGCTAAGGAGACTCGCAAATCATTCAAAAAATATTGAAATTCATGCCTCACACTTTTAGCTAGAAAAATTAAGTTTGTTGTTAGGCATTATTGTTTACGCTGAAATTAGATGGGAGAGAGGGAGAGAGGGGGAGAGAGGGGGAATAATAGATGATGGGTTTTTCCAATAATTCAACTTAAATGATGAGATCAATTTGAAAGGAACTAAATTAATTAAAAATGCTAGATACAAGCTATATTTATTGGAAACTAGACAATCTATAAGCAAAAGTGATTATGCCTAGCCGCTAAATAATAAGACGTTTACTTATGCAGGTAGTTTTTTATGATATTTGATAACATATCAAATGGACTAGATAATAGTCAACCAAATCAAATAATAATTCTTAAATTGAATTCAAATTATTCTACTTTGATTGGTGACTTGATGTTATATATGAATTGATTATGTGGATTTTAGGTTTGATCCATTCGAAGTTTTTTCAATCTTTATTATTTTCTTTAAAAATTGACTTTTTGATGGGTTTGCTTGGAACATGTCTTAGTTGATGTTTTGCTACTCATTTTTTACGAATTTAGGTTTTTTTCTTGAAACATGGGCCATTTTATTTGTTTTAAATGTGAGTTGAGTCCATGGACCTTGATTTGTTGGAACTAAACTATGAAATTATTAGATTGCTTAATTCTGTCATAGTTGAATTGAATTAAGGTTTGTAGAGCGTCTGAATCTTGACTTCTTGTTCTCGATCAACATTATTTAGAAAGTAAAATTTTTATTTGACCCTTCAATAATGCGGTGAATCTAGAGAATTTTGTTGTCAGTTTTTGGCTGTGTTGGTAGGTTTTATTTCACATACAGTGTAGTTGTGTTCACATGAAATTTTAGTAGGTATCCTTTATGCTGAAGTTAAACCATTTTTAGTTGCAGCAAACTTTTTGGTTAAGTTGGTTTTTTTATTTTTTTTCTTTTTTTGAGTAGCCATTCCATAGATGGGATTGAACCATAATAGCTATCCCATGAGTCAGGGTTATTCAGATTCGATCTAATGTGGAACCTATTCTTTTGGCAATGCATTGTAACCCTCCAGCCTGTGTGAGTGCCCCCCTTTTGTCAAGTTTCCATTTTTCTTAGATGTTAAACATTATACACTCCTGTTACCAACATGTTAATTCATCTTCTTGTATGTTGTAAAGGAATTTTGCATTTGCAAGTCGGTAAGGAAATTTACATAAATACCACACGATTCTTATATATTTGCATATGTAACAACCAACATTTGATATTTACCCTTATAACATCTTTCTATCATAAACTTATGCATGCATAACTGCATTTCACTCTTAAAAGGTAGTGATGGTGGTATTTTTTATGTTATTTTATAAATTTGAGTGGTATGTATGTAATATGAATGTTTAGGTGTTAGATAAATACATAAGAATGGTGTGATATGTATG